AGTTGGCACAAACTGGATACCAACAGTTTTTCTTCATCCGTGCTTGGGAGAATGGACGCCGTTGGGCTGAAATTCTGACAGACCATGGCATTGCTTCTGCAGAACTTTCAAGTTTCTTGGATATGTGCAGAGATCCCAAATTGCTGGGTTGGAACTTTGGTATTCCAGAACCTCAGTGGGATAATTTTGGCAATACAGTGGAGGAAGCATTCAACAATCCCTTGTTTGCCAAATTGCACTATCGCTTCAAGCAGGAGGAAGAGATTGGTCGTGTCATGCACCTTGTGTCAGAACTTGTTTGTGACTTTTTCATCAAGGTGTTTCCCAAGTGGGTTCTGAAGCATTCGATCTTGTGGGAAGAGTTTATGATTTTGGATCCAGTTACAAAATTTCCTTTTTACAAGACTTCAGAGGCCGATTTATGTGCAGAAGTGGATCCAGAGAAGTATCATACACATTTTGCTATGAACTTCAAGAAATTCCGTTTTTCTGCAAGAATTGTGTGGTATTTGATTGACCGTGACAGGAATCATTTAGAGAGTTTTCTTCACAACTCCCACAGCAGATTTGTGCAACATGCATGCTATCAACTTCGTGAGTATGTTCAGGCGCGTGTTGCAGTTTCTGATCCCTTGTATGAGATGATCAAGAAGGAAGAGTTTGAACGCCAATACAATTCCAAGTTTTTGGAGGCGATTTCTTGCTCTCGTGTTGTAGTTGAGCCTGTAAGTTCAGGGACGTATGAGCCATCATCGAAGCTGAACTTAAAGGTACTACAAGACATCCTGAAGGGTATCTTCAAGATCCAGAAGGATGAGGAGCTTGCCAAGGAACGTGATGAAGAAGAAGAACGGGCAGCTCAAAACATCTCATACCTGTTGGCAGATGATATGGAGCTTGATTTTGATGATGATGATGTTCCAGTATGGCGCTCCATTGTCGACAAGTATAGAGGAGGTGATCAGGTGCTACAGGGAGAAGCTGTGAAGATTACTCACCTGTTCAGGGATCAAAAGGACAATGAGAAGGCGACAGAAGCTTTCAGTTCAGAGAGGACAGATTTTTATGAGACCTCAGGACCTCTTCCAAGAACAGAGGGAGAAAATCTTGTAGAGGACTTGCTCACCAAGGATGTTGCAGAACAAGCTTTTGAAGCAGGTGAAGAAGTTCCTCCTTATACAAGAGTCTCCACTATCGCTGGTGAAATCTATACTGGAAGTAGGACACTTCTAAAAGATGAGGATATGGAAGAGGAAGTTCCTGAAGAAGATCCTGCAGTTGAACTTGGAAAGGAAGAAGAAATATTTGATGAGAATGCAGGTGTTTTTCCTTCAGAGGAACCAAAGATGGAAGTGGACCAGGAGGAAGCCAAGGAAGAGTCAACACCACACTTTCTGTCAAGAGAGATAGGTGAGGACTCGACGGCATCGTACTTACCATCAGGTGAGATGGATGCTAACCTTGATGATACTTCAGGTCAGCGGAAATCTAAGAAAAGCCGCCTGAATAAGATACCTGATCCTCATTTTCATGAAGAAGTTCAGGATGATGCAACCATGGAAGAGAAGAAAGAGGCGGTGGAGAAAATAAAAGAGGTCAGAGAGGATGATGGAGAGAAGAAATTGGAGGCTGAAATCCAAGAATCTTTTCCATCTGAAGTAGTTGTTGAAAAGGATACAACAAAAGCTGACAATACCTATGAGTTGCATACTTCACCTTTGAAGTTGCTTGGAGAGCTTACAGGAGATCCAGGTATTGGCCTTTATCAACTATGCTTCAGGGAAACTCACGCAAGATTGCTGAATCATGTTTGTTTCAGAAAAGGTGAGATTTCCCATCCTCATTATCAGCCAAGGATCAACGAGAATGATTTTGTTCGATCCATTCGTAATGTCTGTCCAGTACCTCCACCTGATTGTTATGAACATGAACCAGAGCATGATTTGAAGAGATTCTTCATCAATGATGATCGCATCATTTATTTGGATGGCAAGTATCAGGTCGATCCAAAGGCAATTGAAAGGGCAGGACATGCTCGAGAAGAATTGGAGGAGACGAAGAAGGAACTCAAGAAGGAACTGGAATCATATGGTCCCAAGGGACCCAGTTGGGACTTTGTCACCTTCTATGAAGAGCTGTGCAGAAGGTTCCTCAAGGGAAGAATAGAAGAACCATATGGAACTAACTTATTGGCCAGCTCAGAGTCCTTGACATTTTTATCCTGGAACTATGGCAACATGGTTCGTGGTCAGAAGTACACCACACCAAGGTTTCTCCAAGGACTTGATAGTGCAATGAGGCCACGCAAACAGAGCGCCATATCACTTCAGAATGAGCAATTTGAGAACAACCTTTTCTTCAACACGCTCTTCTTTTTACGTGCACATGTCGTGATTCTCCAGGAAGCTCATCTTCTTGTTCCTGCCAAGGAATTTATTGAGCAAAAGAATTGGACAGTTTGTTTCAATGATTGGGAGAATCTTGCAGTGATGGCTAGATTGGCACCAGGTGGATATGTCAAGATCATTGCTGGACATGATCAGGAACTTGGTCACTGTGAACAGCGTGATGTAACTTGGGCTATCTACGAGATTTGTTTTGGAGAAACAAGGCCTCGTCAAGATTTCAAGGATGCAGACTTTGAATTTGATGACTATGGTCCTGAGGACAAGCGTGTTCCACTTACTCGAGCGAACATGCATACCATCAGAGTCTGTAATTATCATGTTGATACACACCGTGCTGTGGATGCCCACCTACTGACAGGAGAACAGACAGCATTGATGCTTTACGAGTGTTTTGTCTATGAGGTGGACATCATTTCTGGTGATGCAAATAGTTTGGCCTACAGAATGTCTGGGTACAAAAGGCAGCCAATGGCTAACTACTATTACAGCACCATGCAGCATTGGATCCGCAGGTTTTCAGAAGCTCGTGTAAAAGCAGATCCTGGTATCAAAGCACCTATTCCCAGAACATTTTACAGTTCAACTTTACAGGTCCTCAAGAAGTGTGAAGTTTACTTTGATAAACTCTGGGAAGAATATTCTACTGTTGAAAAAGAAGAATACCAAGGATCACAGCTTGGCGATACATGTTTGTCTACCATTGTTGAATGGGGTCATTCAATGAGTGAAGAGGAATATGAAAGAGGAATATGAAAATTCCACAGTGAGCACGAAGGAGTTCATCTGTAATTTTTCAGAGAACCTTGCTATGATTGATACAGAGGTTATGTGCTCAAGGCCCACTGACGAGGACAGTCATGGTCCAATGTTTATTTCACTCAGACCAGCTTCCTTTTCATCTGGAGACAGAAGACAGTATCGCATGGGAGCAACGCTTCATGAGGCGAACGTGCGGAGGAAGGAGAGACAGAAGCAGAATAGAAAGAAAGGAAGGCCGCAAACTTCTGATCAAGCAACTTCATCGTTTGCAGCGGCATAATTCCTGAGCGAAGGCTGAGATTTAAATGATGGCTAGGAAGTGAAGATACTTCTGGTTACAGTTGATACTTTGCTTCCAGGCTTGACTTTAAGTTGCCAGGCTGAAGTTTTAATAAATTCTGGTTTGCAATGAGGAGAAACTTTTTATCAAAGAAGATACTCCTGCATTCCAGGTTTATACGCTTTAGCATGTAGATAGGTATGGACAGTTTTGCATAACTGATGATATCTATCACAGTCGCTTTTCTGAGATGACCTCTAATGGACAACCAGTCATGGTTGATGATTAAGTCATTTCATGATTTGCAATTGTAGTGCAAGATTTTTGTACATACATTTGCCGGTATCTCCTTCTTGTGTTTTTTTGATGTGAATGTGAAAGAGAGTCCTTTTGATGCAGTTTATTTTGTCTGTGAATGAAAGCGGTCGAGACCACGTCACGAGAAGATTATTCCTCGGACCGTACGCTCCTTGCATTTTGCAAGGCATTTTAATTAATTGCATTTGTGCGGTCTTGAATTTTTAGTTCTTTGTTACGCGAGTGTCGTTTGATTCTTTTATAGGTCTCTGTAGAGAAAAAGCCGCTTTCCCTTTTTAGTTTGATTTAGCTCAGGCCCTAGAGAGCTAGTGAGCGCCGGTACATGGTATCTCCGCCTGTGAAAAGTACAGTCTCCAGCCGAGGTACATTATCGTTTTGATTTTGTACTTGAGGTGAGTCAGCTATTGCTCCCTCACTGTATTGAGTAGCTATGAGATTACCTTCTCTGAAGTGTGAAACACACTGGATTAGGTAAGTACATGGCACCGTAGTTTTCTTTTAAGTTGTCAGAGCTAGCTGGACTGTTTTAGCCTTGCAGTAGAAAAAGAGTATGCGACATACGCAATCAGCTAGGAGTGGACATGAATCTTGTGCCTGCTGAAAAGTAGAGCCTACCTGTACAGGGTTCCACTCTAACAGCTGATATAGTGTGTCCATGCTTGACTGCTTCAAGGCTCAAAGAGCAAGAGGATAAGACTCTGCGCATAAAAGACACTAGCGGTCTGCACCTCTACCGTGTACGCCCTAGTCACTCTTTCACCCCCTCCCCACCCCCTCCCCCCCCTTGGTGGTGCTTAATCAAATATAACAAAGTAACCCCTACCATGAAATATTGGACGCAAACAAAAGCAACAAAACACTGTAAATACCAATGAAAAATGACGAAAAGCAACAAAACACTGTAAATACCTATGAAAGATGACTAGAACGCTCTCCCCAGGCACCCTGCGGGTAAATCAACAAAACACTGTAAATACCAATAAAAAATGATGGTAAACGCTAGAAAAATACCAGGCGACCTGGGGAACCGCTAGCAACTACCAGGACCCTCCAACAGGTCACCACCTGCAACTTTGAAGTCCGCAAAAGTCACCAGAGGAGACCTGTTGGAGGGTGCTGGCATATACATACAATATTATATATAATGACTGTGGGGGTGCTTGCAAGACCAAAGGCGTGCTTTCTGCGTCTTCCGGATGTCTTTGGTCGCCCCGGCATCTCATCCTGCCGTTCAGGTCTTCATCTTCGTTCTCCTGACGCTCTCATCCAAGAGCTTGGATGATATTGGGAAGCTGGACTCCTTGCTGGCAGCGGAGTGGGTGATCTCCTTCGGTACCTTAGCCATGTTCCTTGGTTGGGGGAAGAGCTAGAGACGACACGTGGGCGCGCCACGCAGGCATACGCGATGCAGCCCTGGTGCCCACAAGGTTACCTCACCCATGGTAATGGGCACCCAGACCGAATACCCCAACCAGCGGGATTGAGAATTTGTGGTTTTTTTCTTGGACTCCTCAACATGTTTCTATTGTATATATCATTGTTTTTAGGATGCTATTTTTAGTTTAATCCAGCTTGCACTTTCCAGGATCGTCGGATCGTCGAAAGAAGGACGGGTTCTGTTGAACCTGAGAGATAACATATTTCTAAGAAAAGTAAATTCTAAATGTATGTAGGTCCCAGATAGGGATGTCGCCAGCGGAGTGGTTTTTCATCCCAGGTTTCCAAGGCTCATGGAGTTGACCCTGGAGTATGGCATCATGGAGGGCTTCATTCGATTCCTGCCCCTGAGCACCAAAACGCCACAAGCGTGATACAGCGTGGAACGTTGCTGGGTGGGGAAGTTGAACTGAAGGAACTGGCTGGGGCCGAAGAGGAGGATGGGGGGGTAGCCTAAGATGTGGAACTCCCAGCTTTTTGGTCAAACAAGAGAACCATAGACTCATTTGATTGGTCCGAAGACCCACGAGAGAGTGTTGTGTCATCCACTGCCATGGATGATTTCAAGGAGTGTAATGTAGACTCCTTGATGAATGAACCCCCGCCCCGGTACTATGAAGAGGCTCTTCAATCCAATTGGGGTGTGCTCGTGGTTTCTTCACTTGATGCTGTTCGTCCGTGGTGCATGTCGCAGTAGTGTTCGTAGTGTACAGAGGTTACCACCCTAGAGTATCACATCTGACCAACAGACCCACCTGTACCCGCCCCACCTGTGGGCAAGGGTTTTGACTTGGGAGCGTGCCGGCAAGTCCGTGCATCCAATTGGAGTGGGTTCATTAATCAAGGGAGGGCCATTTAATTTTGGATTTTTTTGTTTCCTGTTTTGGATCTTTTGTTTTGTTTTTCGTGGCTTATGGCATCTGGCTTCTGTGGCTTCTGGCTTTTGTGGCTTTTGGCTTCTGTGGCTTCTGGCTTTTGTGGCTTTTGGCTTCTGTGGCTTCTGGCTTTTGTGGCTTTTGGCTTTCGTGGCTTCTGTGGCTTTTGGCTTTTGTGGCTTTTGGCTTTTTGGCCTATCCATCTATCTGTCTATATCTATCTATCTTTCTTTCTTTCTTTCTTTTTGGCAGCTGTTCTCCTTTCTCTTTTTGCATTTGCTTTTCCTTTTGTTTTCGTTGCAGAGACGAAACCAAACAAGGAAGCAAGCAAGCAAGCACGAGCTGCTCACCTTTGGATCTGGTGTGCTGCTGGAAAGGCGCTACGCCACCCCGAACCCCCCCCGCGCCACGAAATCTTTACTTCATCCCCGACACCCGCGCCTGCCACGAAATCAATATTTTAAGGTGAACTCCCCGGTGCAAAACTTTCTAACCAAGCAAATATGCCTCCTCTATTTATCTATCTATCTACCTATCTATCTATCTATCTGTCTATCCATTTATCTTTCTATCTTTCTATCTATCTGCAGTTCAACATCCACAAAGTACTGCACCTGCCACGAAATCTGCACTTCAAGGTCCACAAAGTCTTGCGCCTGCCACGAAATCTGCGCTCCAAGGGCCACAAAGTCCTGCACCTGCCACCAACTCTACACTTCCACATCCACAAAGTCCTGCATCTGCCACGAAATCTGCACTTCAAGGTCCACAAATTCCTGCGCCTGCCACGAAATCTGCACTCCAAGGCCCACAAAGTACTACACCTGCCACGAAATCTGCACTTCAAGGCCCACAAAAAGTCCTGCGCCTGCCACAAAATCTGCACTCCAAGGCCCACAAAGTCCTGCACTTGCCACCAACTCTGGACTTCCACATCCACAAAGTCCTGCACCTGCCACGAAATGTGCTTTGCAAGGTCCACAAAGTATTGCACCTGCCACGAAACACGCAAAACAAAAAATCAAAAAAAAGAAACAAAAAACAAGATTAAGTCGCGGCCCTTAATATCTTTCTTTCTTTCTTTCTTTTTGGCAGCTGTTCTCCTTTCTCTTTGTGCATTTGCTTTTCCTGTTGTTTTCGTTCCAGAGACGAAACCAAACAAGGAAGCAAGCAAGCAAGCAAGGAAGCAAGCAAGCAAGCAAGCACGAGCTGCTCACCTTTGGATCTGGTGTGCTGCTGGAAAGGCGCTACGCCACCCCCAACCCCCCCCGCGCCACGAAATCTTTACTTCATCCCCGACACCCGCGCCTGCCACGAAATCAATATTTTAAGGAACTCCCCGGTGCAAAACTTTCTACCCAAGCAAATATGCCTCCTCTATATCTATAGATCTATCTATCTATCTATCTATTTATCTATCTATCTATATCTATCCATTTATCTTTCTATCTTTCTATCTATCTGCAGTTCAACATCCACAAAGTACTGCACCTGCCACGAAATCTGCACTTCAAGATCCGCAAAGTCTTGCACCTGCCACGAAATCTGCACTCCAAGGCCCACAAAGTCCTGCACCTGCCACCAACTCTACACTTCCACATCCACAAAGTCCTGCATCTGCCACGAAATCTGCACTTCAAGGTCCACAAATTCCTGCGCCTGCCACGAAATCTGCACTCCAAGGGCCACAAAGTACTACACCTGCCACGAAATCTGCACTTCAAGGCCCGCAAAAAGTCCTGCGCCTGCCACAAAATCTGCACTGCAAGAGCCACAAAGTCCTGCACCTGCCACCAACTTTGCACTTCCACATCCACAAAGTCCTGCACCTGCCACGAAATGTGCTTTGCAAGGCCCACCAAGTATTGCACCTGCCACGAAACACAAAAAACAAAAAACACAATAAATCCAAAATTAAGTCGCGGCCTTTAATCAAGAGCCTACAGTGTGTTCAGAGTAGATGGCACAATCCCCAAAAGGTGATTTATTTGGATCCCCATGTAAAAGACATCTTGGGAGTTGTGCCATCTACTCTCTATCCACTATACTCAAGAGTTTACATGAAGGGCCAATGGGCCCTCCTTCCGGCTCTGACCGGAGCTCGTTCCGTCTCGGCTCGCGGCCTGGGTCGACCGAGGCCATCGATTCCAGGAGCCGTGTTGGTGCCGCTGGGCGACCAAAACGAGGGCAACTTAGAGACTGGTCAGTCGTTGGTTTGTTTGCCATTCTTGGAAAGACACATGCGGGTTTTCGAAACAAGAGGAAACACCGGGAAAAAATTTTTTTGGGCAAGGTCCAGTTGATGTTAGCTTGGTCTTAGATTGGGTGCCTCACCTCCCTCATTCCATCCCACTCCCAAGACATTCGCTTCGCGCCTTCTCCCCGAAGCTCAGCTTCGCGGCCATGGCGGGCTGCCGTGGCCGTGGCGGGCCGTGGCGGTGTGGCGGTGGCGCCGCGGCGTCTTCTGAGGTTCACATTCATGAACAAATCCATCGCGGAAGCCGTGGGCTCTACGATGCAGACGGGCATTGCAAGCTACGTCTCCACTGGACGCCCTCCGGCCAACGACCACTATGGTTGGCGAAGCTGAGGCAGCAAATGTGGGCTCAGATAGAGCCCCTGAAGGGTGGAAGAGGTGAATGACCTATAATGGATTTATAACTTTGGGGGCAGATGATCGGCAGATGGTAGATGTTCCTACAGTATAGCTATTGTACAACCTTATACTGTACCTGTATCAATTGATTGACTGGTTGATGATCCATCCTCAGCTCAGGAGATTGCTACTTCTTTTACAGAGCTCCCTGGCCGTCAATTCTTTCATTTGTGCCATGTCTTTGCCGAACATCAATCAAGCCTTCACGGCCCTCAGGAGAGCCATTACTATCCAGCTGTGCGGATCCTTATCATGTATGCGGTCTACAGGCTGGGTTGTTGGGATGAGCCTGGGGCAGGCTGCAGCCTGCACGGCCTGAGCATCCCAGGTTTCCCCATTGGCTTGCTAGGGAAATTTGGGTTTGAAGAACCGAAGGGCCTGAGCTTGAACCGGTGGCTTAAAGGTAAAGAGAAACCTCCAAACGGCGCATCACCCGGCAATACCAAGGATTTTGCCATGAGGGGCCGGCCTTCCAGTGTGAAATGTCGCTTCACGGAAGTTGGAGTTGTCTAGTGTTCGTCAGCAGAAGCAAAAGCAAAAACAGTAGGGGAAAACAACATGAAAAACATAACGGAAAACATATCTATCCGTTCGTCAGTGCATCCTTCCAGCTATAGGGCCTACCAGTAGTCCAACCCTACATGACCCTAGCGAAAGGGATCCTAAAGGGGGCAGACGACCGTGCAGGTCGCTGGCCGAGACCTTCAATGTGGCAGCCCTGCCCATGATGGTCCTCTTGGGCACTGCCTGCGTGCCTCGGGCAAAGAGCTCTCCAAACCGAAGAGGGGGCCCAGGGGCCCAGGGCGGCGGGTACCCTCAATATGATAATTGGGATTGATTGCGTATTACTAGCGCATATTGTATTAGCTAGTGCATAGATGTGCTGCAAAGTGTGTATAAAGCGCAACCTGGCGCGTCAGGTATGATGTGGTCAGGTCTCCCAGGTCTGTCTGGTCCTGCAGATCTTGTAGGCTCAATGTCGACCTTGACACCAGCCGTGGCTGCCCCGTGAGAATGCCCTTTCAGAAGCTTAAGCATTGCCGAAGATGAGTTTTTCCAGATACAAGTAAGAGTGTGGCCTCCAAATAGGCTTATCAGGCGTTCGTTGTTATTTATGTCAGTTCTGAAGATAGACATCCTACTTAGGGATCTTCCTACATTCTGTTTGGCATGGTTGGTCCATAATCCACCTTCCCTCCTCCCGCTGTTTTTAAAACACCTGATCGAAGAGAGGACTTGAAGATGACGTCAATATATTAGTTGATATAAGCTGAATTATTTTAATATATTGTGCATATTTATTTAAAAATATATAGTAAAATATAATGTTATATATATATATACAGTTATATAGATAGGTATTAATTAAGCTCCATATATATATATTAAATTAACAACATGTGAATGCAGGGGGAACAGAGTGGAAATGTGCGCACGCTACCAATTTTCCAGGAGGGGATTTGGTGCAAACGCTATGAACGTGCAATTTTGATGGTTTTGGGACACTGTTGCAAACCTGGGAAGTGAGTTTTTCTCAAGCGCTCAAAAACTATCTGGAAGTTTGATCGTCGTTCCTGCTGGAGCAGCAACACCAAAACTTGCATGCTCCACCCAAAAAAAACACTCTAGAAACCCAGGGAGGCCCTCTTTCTGAAAATTCACAACCATCAATCAGCAGATGAATGCAGTCTTTCCCATACGATGGATGCACCAGACCTCCGGTTGGACGCGCAACAAGCCCGGGGCGCCTCTTCGCGCAGGTCTGGTTGGCCGGTCCAATGCTCTTCTGTCCGCAGCCGACCCTCTGGTCCCTGCGCGACGATCTCTCGGAGTTCTGGTGCTTTGTGATTGGCACGCCCCACGCGGAACGTGGCGGGTCGAAAACGAGCGGTGATTGGTCCTAGGTCAGGTGGTGATCAGCTAGCAGATTTGAGCTGAATCTTGTGACAGGTGTTGTGGTCCGTTTTTGTTGGGACACTTGCGACGACATGCCCAACATGCCAAGCCGGAATCACGTCGGAGTTCTTTCCTCTCGACCTGTTGTTGTGGAGTCCTATAGTGTGGTCGATTGATGGATCGACGGGTTCGGTCCGTCTTCTTTTAGGAGACGTGGACATTCAGGACGACAGAGCTCCAAGCAATGCCCTTCACCGAACCGAGAACCGAGGCAGTGTGAACCTCAAAGAGGTGAACCTGGAGGAACGCCTGGCTGCCCAGAAGGACGACGCCACGGCCAACTTGTACGACGCACCTCGGCGGCCTTCGGGGCCCGGCGGGTCAGGAACGTCTGAAGGGTGGGGTGAGAATCCCCATCGGCGCGCGGCCGTGGGGCGCAAGAAGTTGCAGTGCACACCTAAGGTATAGCCTTGGAGGGGTAGGACCTTTTCAGACGTTGGAGGGGTGGAGGCACCAAGAATGTGACCATTGGCGGGGAGTAGTCAACCAGCTGCCCTTAAGAACCAGCAGTTCCATTGTCAGTATATACGCACTTCATGGAGGATAGGGGAGGACAGGGGTGCCCCATGATCCACTCACTTAGGGTCTAAAACCCATCCCTTTGGAAACTGGGGAGGGCAGCGCATCTCATTTGGATTGGCTTTCATAGCTCCTGAGGTGTTCATCTCCCATCTCCAAGAGAGGAGAATAACGTTAACGCCCTGGCAGAGAAACAAGCAAACCAACAAGCGAGCACTGAGGTTTGGCTTTTCGACAAGTTGAAGCACAAGCGAGCACCGATGCTGGCTCGCGTCATGGAAATCGCGGTGGCAATGGCCCTTCTAGTCGTAATGCTCGCGGTGACTTGGTTCAGTTGGGGTGCAGATGGGGCGACCAAACTGGGTGAGCTCTTTGAGCATGCAGCCCATCATTGTCAGTTTCAGGGAGCAGCCTTGTCGCCGGAAAGGCTTTTGTGGTCCACATTGTTGAAGATGGGAGGCGTCCTTTGGTCCTTTGTTGAGGCCAAGCGGCCAATGAACATCCTTCCAAGGTGTTACTCATATAGGTTGGGACAAAACTCAAGAGACGAGATTTTGGTGTTGCCAAGAAAGCACATCATGCAATCATGGGTGGAAGCCACAAGACTCCCCATTGTGGAGGAAGACATCCTTTCCGCCCTCAAACTGGACCGAGTGCGCCAGTTTCAGCGGTTTCGTCCAGAGACCCGACCCGACAAACGACGCGACGAACGAGTCAGGTGGTGTTTGGCACCATGGTGGACCAAATCCGCTCCGTGGTCCTGCTGGTGCTGCTGAATTATTTCATTCTGGCACTCTGGCGGGTCTTTGGTCGCCCAACCATCTTGATGCGCCTGGGCGGCCCCAAAAAAGTCATGAAAGGTCTTGGACGTTTGGTGACATTGGTGGCATGGTCACTGTGGAGGATCAGTGCATACGTGGCATACGTGGCATATATAGGTGATAGTATATAGGTGATTATAGGTTTTAATATAGTGGTGCATGTTTATTAGTTTAGTACCTTAAAGGCCTCAGAACCGTTTGGTCTCATCATCTCTTGAATCGGCTATGTCCCCCGAAACGCCCTCCGCTCTCAAGGATGCTCTCGGGCGTCTTGTGGATTTGTGCCGTGCCCTTCGTGCTGAACAGCCAATCTCTGGGAGGAGCCCGCCGACTTTTTTCGTGGCGCTTTCATTATTTTTTTGACGGCTGTTCTTTTTTTTTAATCGGACATGAAGCAGGAGGGTGACTGATGCGACTGCGGTGGGTGTGTTTGTCTACTGAACACGGGTGCGGATTGGGGACTCAGTCTGGGAGTGGTTTTTGATTTCGTACTAGTTTTTGGTTGTGGAAACCTGAATTGGTGACAGAGAAACAACAATTGCTCTATATACCAAGAAGATTGGAAGGGATGGGACGTCATTGTGGACATTGTGGGTTAGGGCAATGACTCACTGATAACTCCTGGCAGTTCATTCTCTTTGAACATGTAGAGGTCTCCGGCCCCCAAACAGATTCTAATCACAGCTTGCAATAATTCTGCAGTCCTTCATGAGGAGATTCAGTTCTGATTCGGCTTCCTAATGCCTTAAGGTCTGTTGTATGGCATGTCGCACGTGCCTTGGAAAGCACATGCTTCCCAGAGAAAACCAGTAGCTGAGCACCTGGCAGGACAGTATGGAACTCTTTTGGTCGCCTTTATCCTGACCTTCCAAGCTTTGACCGTCATCGAGAAGGCGCCGGACTCGCAAAGCGAGCGCGAATGCACGCCCGGGGCGATGCGGTTCGATGGGGAGAGAGGAGCATTTTTGGAGCTTGGAATTGAAGGCTCTCAAAGAAGTACTGAATGCAATTGATGGGTCTAGTAACCGTATATGTAACCGTAGACTATAGGTACAACATGGTACAACAACTGGGTTCGGGGGCCACACTAGCGGTCCATGGCTTCTCGCTTAGACGAAGCGGAGGGATCCATGGGGATCACCGACGCTGGCTTTTCCCACCGTGCGATAGAACAGACTAGGAAGCCTCCACCCACCACCAGGGGTTAGGGGATAAATCCGGGGTGGAGGCTTTCGGGAGTTCTAGGGCATTTGGATTGAATTCTAAGCTTGGCAGTGGAGGCCGTCAAGGTGCGGCCGCATGTGCTTGCATGTGGTCCAGCTGCCCAACGTCGCACCGACACGTCCAAGAGTTGCACCCCAAACCCAACTGCCGAATGAAGTCTACAAGCACTGCAATAGCATCAATAACAGCTGCTAGTGGTGGACACCTTTGACTCCAGGCGCTTCTTTTGGGCGCCTGGGTGTGCTTGCGCCCGGATCCCGACTGCGCCTCCATGCCAGAGAGCTCCATTGAAGAGCTCCGACAGACGCGTGGAAGAGCGAACGGACAGACGTGCGGTTTCGTACGTGTGGGATGGGGTTCGGCGCGTGTGACGAAAAACGGCAAGGTGCAGAGCATCACTGATTATAATATAAGAATAGACATGGAATTATAGCATAATGAAGAGTTTACTGTAGTATTAACATATGCAGCACCTTGCACAATATTGCAGAGTATAATTGATCAAGAATTGGGGATCACCATTCTCACCATTCTTACCCGAGATCGAAAGGAAGTCCGGGCCAATGAAAGGCATGTGAGCTCAAAATGTAGCGGTCTTGTAGTGCCGGGCATCGATCAACAGCCGGTCTTCCTCGGCCGGTGCCGGTAAGTGGGTCATACCAAGGAAGCGAGATGCTGCAAGAAGAGTTCAAAGCTATGATGCCTGGCAGGATGTTCTGCGATCGTGATGACCCTGATGTCCTGCTAGTTACTATACTGTAGTGCATGCAATTTCTTACGTTTACTGCAATCGAATCTATCATAGTTGTCAGATGTTGTCAGCGCTTGGCCGAGGATGCAGTCGTGGAGTACTTCTATTTAAACTTCATGCTGCTGTGTTGCATTTTGTTTGAGGCCTCTTGAAGCTGGATGTGCAACCCTGACACCTAGGTCATACCAGTGGCACCTATATGTTTCGATCATGCTTCTAGCTGTCAACCTCGTTGTGCAGCTCGGAGTTGCCGTGCTTGAAATGCCGCCGGGCTTAGACCAGACCACTTTTTGGGCTTGACGATTTATATGAAGCGCTTAGTTTTTCCAAGTGTTTAAAGCTTTGGGGACAACCAATGCTCGTAGCACGCAATTTTGCAGTTGTTTCATTCCAAGTCAAATCTCATGGAGGGCGGGCGTTCAAATGTTCGTCCTAGGATAGCCAGGGTGTGATTCTTCATTGCCAATGTTCCAGTCACCTCCCATTTGCCAGCACATTTGCAGAATTACACTCTCCGACTGCACAAATCCGGTTCGTAAAGGGAAAGTGGTCTTCCTTTCGGGGCCATGCCATCCACGTAGCCATATGATGTGTTTAGAGTTTGGAGTGAATCTCTTTACATGGCCAGTTCTGTCAAACGGACTTTATCTGCAGGGTTCGCCCATCCGAGGCTTGGAGGCCTCCAATCCTGGTGGCTTCTGGGTTCAAAGCTCCGCGGCGGCTGTTGCCGCGTGCGGCGCCCCGAGTACAAACCGCCGGGGAGCGATCACGACCCGCCGAGCGAGCGGCGGATCCAGCTGCTGGGCCGAAGGAAGATGCGGGTGATCCGGGCTGAAGCTGGTCCAGCAGTAGATCTGGGAGGATCTTGGTACTTGGTCCATGTGGTTCATGGCTCGGCGCCCATGATCTTGAGTGATTCAGTTCTTTTTCTTCACTCTTAGGTCCTTATTCTCCAACAAACTTGCATGATATAATCACATGGACCTCAGAAGACGACTTATAAATCATATTCATATTGTTTGCACAGTTTTGTTTCCACTTCCAGGTTTGTTGGACACGGGTCGTCTCATACCTAGATGGGTTTTCTCATGCGACCGATTGGTGCAACGATGTTTGACACCCAGCGAACAGGTCACGTCACCGTGCGCTTTCGACGTTTGACCGGTTGCAAAACGGCGTGATGTGAAGTAATTAGAATCAGACTTGTGTTTACTCCTTTTTCGGAGGCCAAGTGTAAGCATGTCATGTGACACCCCTGACATCAGGAACTTGATGACAAACCCTCTTGGATTTACTTCATCATGAACAAACGCCATCCGGGCGTATGACTGGAATCAGTCAGTGATAGCCGATCAACGGCTCCTCCAAAACCTGCTCTCGGAGACCAGGGACGGGTCGAGGCCGCCGAGCGCTCGGCCAAAAAGCGGGCCACGACCGGTGCCCGTGAGTCAGGCTCTCCGGCGAGCGGGAGGGTCTCCGAAGCCGCTTGGGCAAGGGGATCTCGTGAAGTTCAGCAGCTCGGCTAAGTGGAAAAAGAGTAATTCGTGAGAGAGTGAGACTGAGAACTAAGGTTTTTGGGGACAGGGCGAATGAAGAATTAGATCGGAATAGCATCGATCTGAGGATTGTTTGAAAGTTTGATTTTGGGGACGTCCTAGAAAGGTCTCCAGTCGAGGGTAACTGTCCAGTCTTGGAGGGTCATTTCCCTGCGACGTTGCATTCGTCTAAAGAGTCTAAATAGCATTTTAAGAAAATAGGTGTTTTATATACTTCTTTCCTTGGTGCCCTTGACTGCAACATCTGCAAGGCTAACAACCGGTTTGGGCCAACACGCATTTTTCCGATCCTCTCATCGCCAGCTCCCAAGGGCTCGTGACTGAGAAGGCGTTTTCTCAGGAGCCGCTGAGTTAAAGTTGTTTATAGACAAGCGCTTGCTCATGCGTTTGGAAGGGTCAAGGGTAATCGATGACCAGAACTTCAAGAAGATCCATGGGCCACCATCCAAGAAGCCTCTCATTCTTGTTCTGGCAATTTGATGAACGCCTCCACGCAGTGGCGTCAGACATTTCCCTTGAAAGAGGTGCCAAGCAGAGGTGCTTTTCTTCAGCCCAGCTGAGCACCTCGCTCCCCTTTTTTGCGGCCCGGAGCCGAAGGCCAGGGCGTTCTAGACGCTGCTAGAGATATGGTGCTGAGCACAGGGTCACCAGGTTTGCCAGGGCGGATGAACTAACAGGATTCGCTCCGGATTTCTCACGATTTCTCCAAACTGACGAGAGCCACAATATCCCGCTTCTGGGTGTCCAAGCAGCTTTTGGACGGGTGGGCTGTAAGCACCCTACCCCGCGATGGTCATTATGCATCATAAACACCGTTCGAAGACGTTCGAGTTGCGCAGTGGGACAGGTTCATGATTCAATGTAGACTCTTGCTGAATAAGCCCGCCCCAATTTAGACTTGTAAAAGTATCTTCATATGGGGTGTTTCACCCATCTAAGATAATCAAGAGTCTACATTCGTGAGGTCTTCCACTTCGGGCGGAGCCATTGGGCTCCATGTTAAGGGCTCCACGTTAGAATCTTCCGTCCTGACTCCTTGGTACACCATTGGCCTCAGTGGCTGAACAGCCAGGCGCTGCCGGTACTGCAAAATCTGAAAAGAAGAAGAAACCATTACCGGGTGATTGTATCATTTGACATCATTTGTATCTCAGCACCAGGAAACAAGCAGACTGTATCTCATCACTCGTCTTGACACCCACGATTAGCCTGACCTGACTTGGAGTCCAATCTGAGTCAACAAAATCCAAGCAGTGACTGGCAAGCCAGAGCGAGTGTTCTGCAATGTCTTGAATGTTCTGTGGAGCTTTCAAGCTGCCTTGCCGTGCCGTGCCAAATGGAGTGTTCGCGCATGGAAGAGCCACTCGCATGATTGGTTCCGGCTGTCGTTCGAAGCCGGACAAACAAATTGTTCGCCAGGACTTTTTGCTGCATTTCGAGGAGTACAAGGCTGGCTGCAGCAAGTTACCACCATGGCCGCAACAACCAGAGGTCCAAGAGGTCCTCTCCTTTGACTCCAATCTTGTTTTGGTGGAGTGGTTCTTCAAGTTTGATTTCTCAGTTGATATGACATGATTGTGATTCATCCTTGTTCCATTTCAGCTTATTAGTTATTACTTAAGGGAACGTTTACAGCAAACCCCATAGTTAGTGGGCGAAAACAATGGTTTCCTCCAAATCTTCACCTTCAACCAATCCAGTGAACATAGACCTATTATTATATGTATGATCCATTTGCATCTCAGGTGTGTGCGCCGTGTGATATGCAGAATTGCCCAAGAAAAGCAACGAGTTGCCACACACCTTCCGTTCGAACAGGCCAGTTCTACCCTCAATTGCTATAACACTGACTAAACCAGGAAGAGGTTGTTCACTTCTGCAAGTTTGCACGGCAAGGACCCGGAACCGCGAAATCAGTTGCGTGAGGCCAACGTGGCACAGCTTCGCAAGCAGCGGAACGTGGGCACTGGGCGGTGTATTCCCACCTTGGCTTGGACCTCAGAAGCGCCGCAAGCATTGGAAGCACACCGCGGGGAATGGGCTGAAAAAGTGTGCTGTTTTCTCTTTCTTTTTCAATTGCGTGGTGGCTGGCCTAACAAGTCATGTTGCACAATGTTGGAGCTGATGTCCGACATGCAGGTGGATACGCAGAATGTGTGGCCAACAGCCCAGAGGATCATGGCAGCAGGCTTTCCCTTGACTGGGTGGGGTGCTGAGATGTAAGCAAGAGCTTTGATTCAGGAGCGGTTTCAACTGACCAGAGGAGAAACCCACGTGAGCATGCCAAACATGCTGCATGCTTTGCATCCCTCAGCTACCGTAGGTCGTTCTCAACCCGAAGAGTCGGGTTCAACGAAGGAGTGTCACGATACAGCGCTTACAGCTGTAGACTTCTGCATTGAAGGATTTTTAGGCAAGTTGCCTTCCAACTCAGCCTCAGTGGAAGTTTCGATATGACGCCACAGAGGCCAGTATTTTGGTATTTTATGGTTTTTTGAAATTGCTTTCACCCTCCCAATGGACCATTTAGCCAATGCACATGCACATATGAAACATGTGTTCATCAGTTTGCAAAACGATCGCTAGCGGCTAGTGCGTCATTTGTCTTTCGGCCGGGCAAGAGACGATGTGCATTCCTGCCTGAGCTGCTTGGCTTCAGTACATGGCATCCGACGGAGTCCGACCTGGCGACCGATCCCACCATTAAAGAGCACGAACTCCTGAGAGCAGAAGAAGACCTGAACAAACAGTATCTTAGTACAACACAAGGTGGGAAGATGTCCGAAGGGTGAGTTCAAGTATGGTTGATGAAGCTCTATACTTGAGCCAGACCCTAGGAGCTCTTCTCCATCATCCCATCATATCCCAGCCAACATGGACAACCATGGAGCGCTATAGGTTTGTCATATCTCAACCACGGGACGAGACACATCTCCCGATGGCGCCCCGGCGTCGACCACTGACCTCCTTCGGCCTTCTGGCAGTGGCTGGATGGCTGGGCCGTGCCTTCGTCGCCCCGGCCGGGCCTCCGTCGCGGCCACCAGCGCGCAGAGCGGCCGGTGCGACGGTGCTGGAGGTGACCCCGACTGTGGCTTTGCCAGATGAGGCCCATGCCGTTTCGGAGAAGGCCGGGGCAAAACGATGGGTTGTGAACGTCGTAGTTGGGAACGTTCGACAAGTTCAGCATTTTTTAAATATACCCTCCCTGAAACTAACATGGAAGTGGAAAACCACCTGTTTGTAGTGGAAAATGGTCTTCCACGGGGCCATTCTCCACTTTCATGTTAGTTCCGGGCAGTGTATATAACTCTTGTATAACTATATAATATATATATATATCTGTCTGTTCAACGTGACTGGAGGCCGTCCTGGACTTTTTCAACGTGACCTTGGACAGGGGCCTGTCACCTGAGCAGGTGAATCAGCAACTGAATCAGTATGGTTCAAACCAACTACTGGAGCAGGAGAAGAAGTCACTATGGGAACTGGTGGCAGAGCAACTAGGGCCAAGTCGGAGAGCTTGTTCAAAACAATGTGAGTTTCTTTAAGTGTGGGGAAAGTGTTGTAGTGCGCAGTGTATTTTAGTTCTACTGAAATTGGCCGAAGTCAGGCAATTTGATGATTTGCTGGTTCGCATCCTGCTTCTCTCTGCTTTGGTGTCCTTTTTGCTGGCCTACTTCAACACTGATCAGAAAGAGGAAGGCTTGTCTGCTTACATCGAGCCTTTGGCCGCTTGGAGGACCAGGGCCGCTTGTTTTGTTTCTGGTGACTTTGGTGGGCACCAAATAGATACCAAATAGATCAAAACAGATAGAAGCGATTGCCATTAATTACATATCAAAGTAGGGGTCCAGTCATGCTGACTTCTTTTGAAGCGATTAGACAGAGAATCGAATGCTGGGGTCCTTTCATGCTCATGCTGGGTCATGAGGACCAACTGCTCAAAAGCCCGATTCGATACACGGAAAATCAACCTTTGGCCAACACCCTTCCTGGCTAAACCTTCCAGCCATTCACCAAAATACATGACTTCATTCACATGTTCTTTATTCAAACCCACGTGGGTTGGTGAGGGTGTTGGACCCGCTAGGAGCAGCAACATTTGCTCTGCTGGCAAGTCCAGCCGCCCTCCCATTTGTCATCACAACAGTGCCCCAAGAACCACAGATGTGTTCTTTGCAACCCGCAACATCGCAAGATGCTGCAGGTGATCCTGATGATCCTGGTGCTGAATGCGTGTGTGGGAGTCTGGCAGGAGTCCAATGCAGAGAAGGCACTGGACTCGCTGAAGAAGCTCCAGAGCGACACCGCCACAGTGCTGCGTGGCGGACGTTGGGGACAGATCGATGCCACGGAGGTGGTGCCTGGGGATGTTTGCGAGGTGAAAGCAGGCGATAAGGCGGGGAGCGGTGGATGAGGGTCTTGAATGAGTGTGGATCTTAAATTGCTCGTGCCAACATGTCATCTCAGCAAATTCAACCGATAGATCAATGTATAAATGTATATCATGAACATACATCGATAGTCGCCGAACGTAGTCCGAGTCAGAGACTTGTCCATGTCCAACTGCTGTTCCCTCATGCCATTCCCTTTTCGCTGGAGCTGGCTCCTCCCCGCGAGGTCCCCGCGGACATTCGCCTAGTGCGTCTCAAGACCACCACGGTGCGGGCGGAGCAAAGTCAACTCACTGGAGAAACCCAAAGTGTGATCAAGGACCGGCTGGAAGAGTGGCGGGATAACCAGCTCTGGGGGAACTAGCCGCCAGGCTTAAGACTAGGTCCCAAGGAGAAAGACTCTCTTCGATCATGTCCGAACTCCATGCATATACTCCCCTGCAGATTAACATAGAACCCTTAAACCACTGGGTTGTAGAGGAAAATGGTCTTCCACCGGTCAATTCTCAGGTTCCATGTTTGTTTGCGGGGGCTAGTTCATATATAGTTACTCTAGA